GGTGTGAGGGTACCCGTGCCCTTCCCCAGGCCCTGCCAAGTGGTGTAACGCCCGTACCTCAGCAGTTCAGTCAGAACAAGGTGACCCTGGAGCAGAAGGAGCAGCACGGCCATGGTGGGGGGTGGTGAGGGAGCAGGAGCCTTGCAGATGGAAACACGGGCGCCTTTGGACTCCTGTCCCTCTCAGCACCCGGTGCCATGCCCAGAGCAGATGCCGCCGGCAGAGCCTTCGGCTTCCCGGAGCAGAAGGAGTGGGTCTGGTCTTCCCAGCCGCAGCTGCAGGAGCTGCTTTCTGCACAGCTGGAGCACTTGGTGCATGCCGAGGCCCGAGGAAGTGGGTGATGGTGGGTGCTGGAGCAGGGTGCAGCTGTGACACCTTGGGTGGCTGTGACAGTGCTGATGCAGCCACTGTACCAGCCTCAAGAAAACACTGAGATGCCGCCAAAAAAATACCTGAATATTCGAACTGGAAATCAGTGTGGCCTTGTGAGACTGGGTAAAGGTGGAAGCTCACTGGTTTTGCTTCACTGACCCTTCCACTCTCCAGCCTACCTGCGTTCATGCTGGGCCTGGGACACATCCCTGGGTTCTACCCTGCGCTTGAGGCTCCAGCAGTCATGGAGTATGGTATCACACCTGTTTAAAATCACTTTAAAGTAAAATACTGTTTCTATTAGCAGGGTATCACCCCAAATTAGGTACAGGTTTTAAATTACTCAAAGCCAGAAGACACCTTCTTAGAATATTCTGGTACTTCCCTAGGGAAAGGAAGACTTAATATCATCCTGACTCAAATTAAAGGCAGGGACTTCATAAGAGGCAGATTATTTTGGAGCGAGTGTCACAACCCAGGCAAGAAGGATGAATTCCCTGTATCACCAGTAACTTACAGAATAACCTACTTAAATAATTTCTTCCCATTTCCAGGCATTTGGTCATTCTTTGGAGTAGGAAATGTATTTTTTTCCTTCTCACCTCTAACATGTTATCATCCCAAGCAATTCAGGGGGATGCTGGTGGGAACACCCCCTGGTTCCCCCAGCTCTGGAAATGTCCATCCAGCTGGTTACGATGGTTTGCCTGGCTGGTATGGGAGAACACAACGTTTTCTGAGTCCTTGTGGTTTTCCAGGCCATTTTCTGATCTCTTTCCAAAGACCTTTTCCCTAGTTCAGTTGAGAACAGCTGCTGGAAACTCCTCCCTGAGGGTGGGGAAAAGACATTGTGGGTTTTGTTTTTTTTTTTAAGAATAACTTCACAACATTAAAACAAAACAGGATTGGTGCTGCTGTGAACTGAGGAAGGGTCCGGAGGTGAGAGCCATTGGCGTGACACACTAAAGGGCTTTGCAGGATCATGTTTACCTGTCTCTTGCCTTGGTGGAGATCCAGCGCTGCCTGCAAGCCGTGGCAGTCGGGTCACTTTCTGCCAGTTGTCTCTGAGAGGTGCCAACCGCCGAGTCGTAAAGGAATTAACACAACCACAGGGCAGGGGCAACAGGTTGATGCACAGGAGAAACAAGTATTAGAAGATCTGGAAATGCCCCTGGCAAGGAAAGAAACCGAGACCCTCTTCCAAGAGCAGCCTGAGACTGGGAACCAGTATTTGGAAGATGCTTTGCTTCGGGGTTACTTGAAGACGCACCTTCCTCCCAAGGTCTGGCGTGCATGTTTGTGTTTCTGTGTGTATGCACTACGATTCTAGCTAGGTCACTGTTTAAAAGTGTGAACTGAGCGTTTCTCTGAGCCCTTTTGTGCCTTCAGGCCTTTAACTGGGGTGAATTTATCAGCGTTCTTTAAAACTTGTTTTCTTTGAATCCGTGCAGGGGTGAAAAATACTGCCAGGATGTAAACAGAAAGTGGCTTAGGGGACTCCTGTGACCGGTCTGGGTGTTGCAACAAGAGTGTTGTTTTGGTGTTGTCAGTGTGTGCGTTTGTTGTCAGGTCATCCAAAATAAGAAATTTCAGAGAAAGGGAAAAAAGCTAAGGTGCTTCCAAACTCTGCTGTGCTCTTCCGCTACTCTCCTCCAGGCAAGAGGGACTTTTAAGAAAATTCCTTTCTGAAGGAACAAGGACTGTTCTCAGCTGAGTGCTCAAAAGGATGCAAAGGCCCGTTGGGGTTTGCTTGTTCTCAGCACAGGTCGTTGGTTTTCCTGGGTTGATTTTCAGCCAGTGAAGGCTCTGTACTGACGCAGGGGTGCAGAGAGGTGGGGTAGGACCCTGAGCTGTGGGTATCTGTTCTGTGAGGCCCAGTCCTACAGGAACCTGTGGGAGGAGGCGAGTTGTCTCACTGTCTGTCCTCTGCTGTCACCCCCAGGACCGCAATTGTTTCTCTGTTTTCAAGGACCAGGTCTCACGGAGCAGAGCATGACCTCTCTCCGTGATTTATTCCAGCAGAAGCAATGCAATGACCAGTAAAGCCACCAGGTGAGTAAAGGGGCAGAACCTGGCTTTCAGTGAAGCTCTCCCTGCCACTGTTTGCTCTCCAGGTCTGCCAGGTGTTGTGGACTTGGAGGAGTAAGTGTGTGGCGGCAGCGTTGGGAGCTTGATTTTGTCACAGCCATCACGAAAGATGGAAATGAGGCCTCCCTAAGCAGCACTGTGGCCTTCTTGCCAGAAGATGGGGGAAAAGAGGATGCCTTTGGGCAACGGTGAAGATCTTGCTCCTAATCTGCACGTTTGGAAGAAGCACAATTCAGATCTCCCAAGAATAAAAGGATCAGTGCTGTCATTCGCCAAGGCTGAGAGCTGCTCTCCGCTCCTTCCCCAAAGAAACAAAAGCGGCTGCAAAATCTACCAGAGAATCAGCCGCATCTCCCTTCTGTTTCTGCGCTTGGTCCCAGCGGGGCAGTGTTGCCTTGCTGCTGAAAGGGAGAGCCCGGACTCTGCTGTCTGCTTCATGCAGCACCCGCTTGTCTGCGGCCTGAGAGCTACCTCTCCACCTGAACACCTTCCTGTCCAGGAGAGCAGCAACAGACGAAGCTTTGTGTGTCCCACTGAAGCAGACACCACGCTGGAGGCTGATTCCTGTTGTACAATTCACCTGCATTGAGTGGGGAATGCAGAAATTTTCCTGGAATGAAGCAAACAATTTCTTTGTTTATTTGAAGGTGATTCCTGGAGAACACAGAAAAAAGCACCTGCTTTTTCTGGGCACCGCTGGGGAGAGTTATCTATTGATCTTTGATCCCCCTGGAAATATGTCCTTTAATATAAGGAACATCTGTTTGTACTCTTAATGTGCAATAATCTGCCCATTTCCAATATATTCATCCCTGCGACATCAAGGGACTGATGAGGGTGAATGTGACCACCCAGCAGATGCTGCTAGGTAGCGGCTTCAGCCCTGGTGGTTTACAGATGCCCTCTCCGTATGCTGGTGTACATTTTTTTGGAGTGCCCAGGCTGCTGTGTGTTATGTTCAGCAGCCACAAACGTAGGAACTCTGATTTTGTTCTTTTACCTTGGAAATAAACACATTTAGTTGGGGCAACACGGTGGTTTGTAAGGCTGAGCGTGGTCAGGGCACAAGCTTACAGCTACGCAGCTGAGTTTGGGGTTTTTTTTTAGAATATGTGGATGAGGTGAAGGGTCTGTTGCAGTTTGAGTTCACTGTGCTGAGCAAGAGACCTATTTAGCAGACTCATATTCTTCTGCCCACAAAAAACTACCAGCTAAACAGTTCAAAGGTTCTTGTGTTTCAGGGATCAGTGAAGTCCATGAACTTTGGATTCTTAGGTTATGTCTCTAGAACAACCTTCAAACTGGTGTCAGGAGATAAGCATTGGAGGCATACACCCACCCCAGCTGAGCTCCACCGAGAGCAAACAGGAGTGCAGCGTGAGCTGTACCAGTTGACAGGGCTCTCATGCATGCTTTTGGCTCATTTTGTGATTTTTTAACACTATTTCACCGTTCACCTGAAGGAAAACTGGCTGGTCGGAGGACGGAGACTTCCAGAGCAGTAACGGGTCAGCGTATGTTGGATCCTCATTACACACGGTGAACGGCAGAGTGATGAAAGAATCGATCATACGGCATGTAGTTTAATGAAAAGTCAATACAGGGGGAAGCAGGGAAAGGAAGAAGCAGTGTTTGTATTTCATCAACAGCAAATTAATGTGTTTTATAATTGCACCAGTGTGGGTACTGCAGCTATGGCTTTCATCTCCAGGATTGTTATATGGAGGAGGAAACGAGCATCTCTTGAGGGGGTAAAGAACAGCAAAAATATTCCTCTGATGAAAGATCAGGTACTTCTGTGACCCCCATTACAGTCTTGGATGTATTTATGCTGAACGAGGGTCCAACAGCGCTAGAGGTTGGGTCTGCCTGGCCTAACTTTAATCATCTGTAAGTCAGGTTATTTCATTCAAGGCAACTTCACTAGGCTTTGGCCACAGACAGCGAAGAGCGGTTGCAGAAGGCAATTCCTGTCACCTTAAAATAGGTTTCTAAGAGGGTTGGAATGAATCACTCCTCTGCGGGTGCCAGTTTCCTTCCATTACCTACGGACAGACCGCTCCGTCCCAGTCAGCCGAGCCTGGCTGAAACGAGGGCACGTGAGTCCTCACCCAGGGCCTTTCAGGGAGCTGGGTGCAGGGTGGAAATTTGAATCTAGACACCCTGGGTGCCAGGCTGACGCTCAAAGGATGGTGCCGTCCCTCCTTTTCCAGTCCGATAAGCAGGTAACTACTGAGCTCAGTGGAAGTTTTCCTACACAGATGAAGGCTTTCTGGTTTTGGCAGCTCTTCCTTCCCCTGGCATTCTTTTCCAGCAGTAAATGACAGTGGCTGAGGTTGGAAGGACCTCTGGAGATTGTCTGGTCCAACCCCCCTGCTCATGTGCATCTGTGTCATTCTCAGCCCTGATACAAAAGCTCTTCTGTCTTTTGTAAAATCCAGAGATGCTGCCAAAAGTAACTTGAAAAAATTATTTGGGGGGAAAAAAACCATGACAGCTGAGCACAGCTCTGCCAGCAGAGGCAAGAGACAAGCTGTCCTGCTGCATTACAGAATGCATGGAAGGGCCAAGTGGCAAGAGGCAGCAGGACAATATGGTCAGTCCTCTGCCTTTCCAGCTGGGACTGAGGCTCCTTGCCTTCCAGGGGTGTGCTGAAGGGCTCTTCTTGTTGCTTCACAGGTACTGGAGGAGGTGAATCAGGACCTGGAGAGATTTGGAAACCGTCTGCTAACCCAGATCAAACCTCTAGGGTGGGAATGTGAGTTGAACCCCCCTGTGTTTCGGCAGTATGATGCCTGGGGGCGGCGGGTGGATCGCATCGTCACCTGCTCGGCCTGGAGGAGGATGAAGGAGATTGCGGCAGAAGAGGGGCTGATTGCTGAGGCCTACGAGAGAAGATACTCCAACTGGAGGTAACTGGGGGAGAACGGGAAAGACTCGGTACCTTCCCAGTTATACTTAGCAAGGAATATTCAGCTTCAGCATCTTGTAGGACTGAACTTGTTGTATAATGGGTAACAGATGATGCATGGACAAAAGCACACCTACCGCTGTACTGAACAGCAGTGTCTGTCCGCTGTAATGTTCCACATCAGCAATGATAAGCCGTAACTAATGGCCTACAGTTGATCATAATATTCTTTGATGTCACCTTCCTGATTCTGGGGCCTGGCAGTTCCCTGCGCTGCTCCAGCTTTTACATGATTAGTTGTAACACAACTAAAGAGCTGGGATTTTACTTGCAGTTTCATTGTATTCCAGCCTCTGGAGATAGACCCGCATTTCTTATTTTTAAAAACTGCACTTAATGTGCACCAGCTGGCAAGGAATGCCTTCCATCCAGCCTCGTGCTGGCAGTCTGGGACTGAGAAACTCTGCTGCTCCTCTTCTTTTCCTGGCTGAAACAGTTTTTGCCCTCTCAGAAATGAGTGGTTTGATTCTCACCTGTATTTTCTTCCTCTCTTCCTAGTCAATTTGTTTTATCCTCCTGCTGTTGAACCGCTGCATAACCTGTCTGTTTTCACTCTCTTTCTTTCCTAGCCGTCTGCATCAGGCTGTCAAACTGTACTTATTTTCAAGCTCCTCTGGAGGTTTCAACTGTCCGCTGGCCATGACTGATGGGGCAGCCAAAGTCATTGAGGTATGAGCTCAGCTGGTCTCTGAGGGCACAGCCCACGTCCTGGCAGCGCTGGTTAGAGACCGGAGCACTGGCCAAGGACGGAGGAGAGCTGACCTGCCATCTGGCTCTGGCCTGGCCCCTCCTCGCTCTGTGACTCAGCTCCATCTCCCACTGCCTTTCCCCTTTAGTTACAAATCCTTTGCGCCCAGGCTGGCTTTTATTTTTACTTACAACACTGTGTACAATAAGGCCTTTGCCGCACATGAAACCTGTGGCACTGCAGGTAGGTGAAAAGGTGTCTCATGTTTTTACTACGAGATAGTTTCTTTTCCTGCTCCTTGTGTGGAGTAGCAGTTAAATACCTGATGTAAATTAACCAAGCTAGCAAGACTTCCCCAATCTCAAGATTTGGCTCTGGATCTTAGCGACACCCTTTGCACTATGTCAGTGGCTGTGTAGGATGCAGAGAAAAGCTAGCCCTTAAGGAGCTAGCCCTGGGCATTTTAATTCAATAAAAAGAAAAAAAAAAAAGTGTAAGGTGGTTACCTCTTTCCTGCAGCTCTTTGGGTGCTGGTGACATCCAGCGTATAGGAACGTATGCTGATACCCTGGCACGTGTGCTGTTTTGAAAGCTCTCTGTCCAGATGTCTAGCGGTGCAGAAATCCGAGAGGGGGACACAAGCCGCACCTGCAGTGCTGCAGCAGCCGTGTGGGAGCTGGGCAGTTTCATTCTCTGCGCAGTACATGCAGATGCCCCGCAGCGCAGGACACTCAGCGCCCCGCTTGCCTGCTTGCAGACCATCCGTTCTGAGCCCAGGACACGCCGGCATTAATGAAGGCAACTGTCTGATTTCATCTACTGCATTATGATCATCTTTTCTCTCCCCCTAAACAGTCACTAGGTATTCCTGGATCTCTGAAAAACGCTTTTGACCACCTGACGTCCCGTGACCCCAAGAAGTTCTGGACCTCTGGCCAGTGGATGACCGAGCGCAGGGGAGGCTCTGATGTTGGTATGTGTTCAGCAGTGGGAAGCAGCTGTGGCAGCAGCTAGATGCGTTAGTGAGAACGGAGGAAACGAAGGGTGTGGGAAACTCAGAAAGCCAGGTAGCTGGTTTAGGAAACTTCAGCAGAAGTCATCTAAATCCTCTGCATAGCTCTGCTTTTTAATCAACAAAAGGCCCAACTTCTGTCTGTCGATGCATGCAGTACACACAGGCAGGTACAGAGCGCTGACAGGCCAGGAAACCTCAGAACTCCACTGCAGAGACAGTCCCCTCCATCTGATGAAGCTGCAGTTGGTTTCCTGGCGGGAGGCGTGAAAGGGTCAGCTGTGGAGTGCAGGCTACAGGATTGTGCATCATGGCAGGACCTCTGATTCCACAGCACCCTTTGTAGTTCTTGGCCAGGAGCTCCTGAAGAAGTGGAGGTTCTGGATTATACACGGTGGTGCATTTTGCTTACAAAGCACTGCGATTACCAGCTGTTAGCCTGGAGCAATTGCTGGGCAGGCTCGCGGTTAAACAGAGCGTGTTTCCTTTCTAGTACTTAACTCCGGCTGCATTTCTTATCCAGGGTCAATGAAAAAGATTAGCAGCTAATCCATACTCCATCTCGATAGCAAGAGGTGACTTAAAAGAGCTGCTGCTTAAACCAAAAATCAGCATCGATTGATACAGAAGTTCCCATAAAGCTAAGCTGATCTTCTCCTTGCCTGCAGCTAACGGCACTGAGACGGTGGCCAGAAAGCAGCCAGATGGTTCATATCGTCTCTATGGTTTTAAATGGTTTACATCGGCTGCTGATTCTGATGTGACATTAACCCTGGCCAGGGTAGCGGATGCTGAAGGACAAGTAAAACAGGTCTGTTTGATGGTGGAACTGGGTGAAGGAGCAGGGGCATTCTTTTATTTCCTTGTTTCATCGTAATGAAATCTTCTTCGCATGCCTTTTTAATGGCCCCAGGGTTCCAGTGGCCTGTCCCTGTTCTTCCTGAAGGTTCGAGACGAGGAGGGGAAGCTGAACAGCATCCAAGTGCAAAGGCTGAAAGACAAGTTGGGCACACGGCAGATGGCAACAGCAGAGCTATGGCTAGATGGAGCTCCAGCAGAGCTGGTACGTAAGGTTTCAACTTCCTCTTGGGACTGGGCTGGCTTGGCACGGCAGACCGCTCACGGGGGTTGGCAGTGGTACTGACTGAAAAAGTTCCTCTCTCCCACCTCTGTGGCTGGCTGTTCACTCCAGAGAACCCTTCACCCATGGGCTGTGTGTGGGACAGAGGTGAGAACAGCTCAGGAAAGTGGGAGGAAAGAAGAAAACCCAACAAAACCTCATTTTAGGCTGGTCATTTCCCTACTGCAGTTGCATTGACCCAGTTGAGGGACAGTTCTGTGTAGCGTGCAGGTAGGAACAAGCAGCAGGGAACAGAACTTCTCATGCTGACGTGGTCTCCAAAGCCACCTCTCTGGTCATGCCACAGACCTGGTGAAAATGAGACAGCTGTCTTTTAAAGCAAGCAGATCTTTGTGGTGCCTGAGGACAGACAGGGCGGACAGCCTGTATCTACCTGTCCATTGACACAACTTTCACTTAGATATGCATCCGCTTCCAAGGCTGTGCAAAAGGCTTACGTCAGCCTTTGTTCCTCGATGCTTTCAGATCTCTGCAGAGGGTCGTGGAGTGGCCTCCATCTCCAACATGCTGAACATAACTCGGATCCACAATGTCATTGGTGCAGTAGCTTCCATGAGAAGGTGAAGGCAGGATGGATCCCCCCAGAGCTGAAGGAGCAGCTTATCAGGACAAAGGGACTTTGCAATGCTCAGCATTGTGGCCGACTGACATCTAATGCCTTTGCCAGCACAGGTCTGGAAGCAGCAGTGCTGGAGAAGGTTGGCCTGTGGGTGGGTGACCTAGGCTGGTGTGCTACAGCTGAGCAGGGTTCTTCCAGTGGGGTGGCTGGGAAGGAAAGCTCAGAAGTGGCAGGTTGTGCTGGTCTAACCGCTTTCCCTGGCTGTATTCTGTCTAGGATGATCAGCCTGAGCAGGGAGTACGCCCGTAGGCGGGTTGCCTTTGGGAAGCTCCTCAAGGACCATCCCCTGCACATGCAGACGATAGCCCGGATGGAGGTAAGGCCTTCAGGAGCTGAGCTGAACCTGTTGGCGAGGAAAGAGGGCAGAGATCCTCAGCTGCTAATGAGCATGGCCGGCCTGCCTCTGTGTGTAGCAGTCAGGTGTAGAAGGCTGTTCCTGCTACAGCCAGATGTGTGCAGCAGGGGAATCACCATACTCCAGTGGGGTTTGATCTGAGGATAGACCTAGGTTCTGTGCTGGACCTCAGGTTATCCTAAACAACAATTACCCGGGAGCTGTCCTGAGAGGAGTGCCAGAGTTTGTGCATGCACCTGCCACGGTGTGCCATGACCTCTGAAGTTGGTCCTTAGCAGAGTCCCAGCATGACACCCCAGTCTGCGAGACTGCAGTTAACAGACTCTTGTCCAAGACGGATACAGACTCATCCAACTTCCCCAGTAGCTCATGCACCAGGAGACAGGCTGTTCCCAGCACGCTCAAAGAATTCCCGAGTAGTCACAGAGCTTCTGAGACAAGCGTGTCTTCGCTGTGTACCTGCACGGTGCTCGTCTCCACAAGACACGGAGCTCGAGTGCAGCCTCTAGATGTGAATGTCATCTAAGGCAATAACAGACAATGGGAGAGAGCACAGCATGAATTGGCGTTCTGGGAGGAATTCCACGTGCTTCGCTCCCCACAGAATGTCTCACAGCTCTGCCGCAACTCTGAGCTGCAGCAGCTCACTAAATGCACAGGACACAGGTGTCTTCCCACCCCTACTAAAACTTCAAAAAGAAGGCACCCAGTTCTCCTTTCACCCATCCTTCTTTTCTCAAGTGGTGTAACACTTGCCCTTGGGCTGCAACTGGTTCATGCAAATTTTTAAAACAAAAATTTAAAAATCCTCTTGCAAGGTGGGGGAAAGGGAAAGCAGTCAACATCTGTCAAACATAGCTTAAAGCTCCAGCATCTCTGAGCCTGAACCAGAGCTCCACCTCTGAAAGAAAGGCCAGATCCTGTACAGTCCCACAGCACATCGTTATGCCCAGGGGCTACAGAGCTCCATATCCCTCTATTTCCTGAATCACAAATTGCAAGGGCAGTAAATTGCTCAGCAAGAAATCTGTCAAAGACCTTGCGGATCCTGGTGCTCAGAGTTTGACCATCAGATGTGTGTTCGTGTGTCCCTTACCCTTGGAAAGGATGTGGATTTGTGACCTGGATGCCTGATAGGAGCTTGATAAGGCTCAGAGTAGGCCTGATCAAATGGCATTGCCCCTTTCCTCATACTGGATCCCAGTGCCCAAGAGCAGCAGCTCCAGGCTACCTCCGGTATTTCGTGCTTGGTGCCTTGGCTGGTCAGGGTCTTTGTCGCTGAAGCTGTGGGTCTGTACGGGGTCCGAGTGTTGCGCATCCCTTCCAGATAGTCTCAGCAGACCCGCTGGAATCAGCCCCACTCAGAGATCCTTGCCGGTGAAGCTCCCCACTTCTCTGCTTGCAGGTGCAGACGCGAGGGGCGTTTCTTCTGCTTATGGAGATCGTTCGTCTCCTTGGACTTGCAGAAACCAACATGGCAAGTGAGGAAGACCAGCTTCTCTTGAGACTGCTGGTACCAGTCGCCAAACTGTACACTGGGAAGCAGGTACAGAACAACCAGTTTGATTAGCCCGGAGGGGGGCTGTGTGGCACGTCCCCAACCTCAGAGCTGGAAAGAGGAGTGAAGGGCAGCGATAGCCGGGGATACCGGCAGTGACCTGTCTGTCCCTCTTCTAATTGCCCTCAGCTTAAATACACGGAAGCTTACACACCATAGGCAAGTAGAGGATAGGCGAGTTGAGGGTAAAGACTCTCCTGGACTAGAGACACGTACTCCCATGTACCAAGCACGCCATAGGTTTATCCTTACCTAGAGAGGACTGTATTGAGACAGACTCTCCCTGGATCTTCTCCCAAGGTCTGACTGCTCCTGCAGGTCCTCTCTCAGTGTCGCTCAGTCTTCCTTCCCCAGGCTGCTCCTCCTGCACGTAATGAGCAACCTGCCTCAGCGATCAGTGGGATCCGGTCAGTCCCATCCCAGCAGGAAGTGCTGTGTGATGGTAGAGGGTTTTGGCCGCTCTTTCCCCTTGTGCAATGTGGATCATGTCAGCTTTCTGTGTTTTGCAGGCTTCTGCTGCTGTTATTGAGGGAATGGAGAGCTTTGGAGGACAAGGTTACATGGAGGATACAGGCTTGCCAGTCATAGTCCGCGATACTCTGGTAAGAAAGCAGCAGGAGAAGCTCCGGTGTGTCACCTAGTCCCCTGCACAGCACTCTGTGGTGCCTGCTAAAGACATGCTCAAGGAAGAAGTGTCCCCACGCTCGCTGCAGACGCGGCAGCTCTGTCCTAGTTCTCTTCCTGCTGGGCCCAGTCACCGCCAGGGAGGGGATGCAATTTGTTCCTGGTGCTGGGATTGTTTCCTACCTCAGTAATGGAGCTGGGCTCCTGGCTGACATCACCACCGCTCCTTTCCACTTGTGGTGAGGCAAGACATCTCTGGAGGTTTCCTCGATACCCCTTCACTCTGCCCTGCATCTTTTGTTTCCTCACATTCCCCTTTCTTTATTACAGCTGCTCCAAAAGGCTCCTTCGTGCTCTTCCACATTCTCTTCTACCCCACAGGTGCTGTCCATATGGGAGGGAACAACAAATATCCTGTCACTTGATGTCCTGCGATCCCTCTCCAAGAGTCGAGGACAGGTGATGGCTGTGTTCTTCTCCTCAGTGCAGGTGAGCTCACACCAAAAGCACTGGCAAGTCGGATTTGCCCACCTCGGCGGGGGCTTACTTGGTGTTTGTCTCCTGGCTGAGACTGGTGGGGAATACAACCGAACGGAAAGCTTTAGACCAGTGTTCAGGAGGTGTCTTACAATGCTGCTCCTTAAACGGCACTTCCAAAAGCAGGAACCAGACAGCGCTCGCTTTGGGATCTTTGTGTGCTGCAAAACCCAGATACTTCATCTCGGCAGTGAAGAGTTTTGCATTGTCAGAGTTCCTCAGGACAGGCACCAATGTAAGTATAGTTTTAATGTCAGAGAGTCACCTTCCCAAATCCAAAATAATTTTGTGGTTTTGTTTCTTAACTGAAAAACCACCACAAAACTGCTGAATATTAAACCTTCGCTAGGGCTACCTACTGCATGATGACTTTCTATTTTTATTCCGGCGGAAAAGATGGAAAGAGCTGAAGGAATTCCATTGCTGCCTCTTTAGATTTGCCATTCTCTGCTTTACCTACAAGCTGTTCTTTTAAAGGTGTTCAGATGACAGGCAGGCAGGAGAGGTCAGTTCAAAGCAGCTCAGAATTTCATGGAGGTAAATGAGCATCAGCTGGTTTGATATGTCCCGTAAAGGGAGACAGGAACCAGCCTGAAAGGCACAATCAGCATATCCAAGATGGGTTCTCTCAGAGATCAGATTATTAATCCAGATAGAATACTCCAGATTATGTTAGCTCAGATAGAGCGAGGGAATCCTGTGCACCTGGAGTGCTGGATCTGACCACGCGTAGCCTTCGCTTTCTCATGGAAGGGACAGGTCTGGGTCGCTGTGCTCCCTGCGGCACTGACGAATGGATAGGTCCTTCCAAAACACACGAGCAAGAGCCTGACTCCTCCTCACCCGTGGCCACAGTTGGCAACTTCTGTTACATCTCAAGCCCCCGACTGTGCTGTATTGGGTACGAGCACCTCTCTGACCTCCAGGGATGGCTGTCATCATACCATCCTCTCACACAACTTCCCATAAAGGAAAAATACCTCAAACAATTTGACTGCCAAACAAGAAACCCAAATCTGCTCAGAAGCAGGACTGAGCACACCTGCCAATTAAAAAGCCAACTGGTCCAGCCGTGGATAAAAAACAGTTTAGTCCGACACTGAAGGTAATGGAGCGGAGAAGGGAAGGAGCGGGTGGTAGGTTCTAAAAATAACTTGGAAAGAGGCCGGCCTCCGCAGGCTTACGCTAATTTAATGGACTGCCCTGCAAAGGTGCCATGCTGCAGTCCTGGGAGCACCTGGTGTAGCCGAGAGGCCCCTCCAGCTTCTTAACAACTGGATAATCAGAGAGGCAGTAAAGATCACAGCAGCGTGATTCAGAGCAGGTACCTGCACAGCAGTAACACCAAGTATCGAGATTCATTAATTAACAAGCTCATCATCGCTCTCGCACTCCCACAAATCACGCTGTATATGAGACCGGAGGCTGAACAAGCAAGCACTGACTTTAAAGTACGGCTTTAAAATAAATTGCAGTAAGTGCCGTTGCGTTTGCTGCTCATGTCGCACTGAGGCTGCCTCTGTTACCTCGGCTGGAAGGGGCTGAGCTGGGAGAGCAGTGCGGATGTGATTCTGGATGGACTAGATCATACTTGGCAAATTTAACCCTGATATTTAATCGGAAAGCTTTTCCCTTACGCCTGCGGCAGCCAGGCACTGGAAAGGCAGACTGGAGGTATTTCTCCAGAGTGCTTCTGCAGCATTGGGCACGAACGTGCTGTTTCTACACCAGAATCAGGGTTTCACTCACCGGTGATAACCAACCTCTTCTTGGGCTCCAGGTGTCCAAATTGTTTTGGTCTCCGGGAGTCTGGCTCATATTGAACCATCCTTCCCATTCCCGTCTAGTGAGGAAATCATTTAGCCCTTCATAAAGGGATTTTTACTGCTCCGATCCATTTCCTTTTTATTGATGTACACAAAACTAGTACAATTGATTTTATGTTTGTCCATCAAGGTTCTCAGTTTGCAGGATTTGTTCCCGGTGAAAGGCTGCTGTGGAGAAAGCGGCATCAGTTCTTCATTAGTACAGCAGAGATGCTTTGTTCTCTGAAGGTCATATCTCAGGGGAACCTCCCCCCAACCCACTCCCACCTATTTTTGCTTTTATCCTGTTGCCTCTACTGATGGTGGGATACCCAACGGTAACAGTGCTGGGATCTAGGAGCAGGAACCCAATGTCGTAATTATCCTCAGGAAAAGGCAAATACAGAGAACTTCCTCATCCTCGCGCAATGTGATTATGAGACGCTGAATTTCTAGGGTGCTTGATACACAAGCGAGTTTGTTACAAACCACCCTGTCCAGAGGTGATTAGTCTGCAAAGTCATTTCATGTTACACTAAACATTTATTAGCTGGAATCTGAGCCAGAGCATTGGGTGTACTTTAACATTCAATCTGAAAAGTGACTCTAAAATAGCACCGGGGAATTATTTGATTATTGCATTTTAGTCGCTTTAGGTTAAATTTGGTCACATCGCAGTACGGTTGTGTTTCTGAATGCCAGTCCTGCAAACATCCTGCAGAGCTCAGAATCAACTGCCTGATGCATCCAGAAGAACTGCGTAGGGCTGAAACTCTAGCTGTAAATCCAACGTGCAATCTAAGACGTGTACGGTTTTCAGGTCCTTTTCAGACCATAACCATAATTTTAACAGAGCAGGAAACAAATCTAGGTTATTAAAGTGAGCCTACGTGTTTGCTCAAAGCATTAACATGAGACTGGTGCTTCTAGCCCTGTTTTGGATGTTCTCCCTGCTGCTGTATTTTTAAATATTCATGATTTTTCTTTAAGTAAAAACCACTCTGACAGCTTTGCTCAGTAGCTAGTGAGAGCAAGCAAATGAGCAGCATCTTAAAATTCCTCAGTGAAAACCAAAATAATTGGAAATATTGGAGCTCTAAAGCTCTTTTGCTCTCTGATGATTTCAGTCAGAGGAGCGCAGAGCTGGCAGAGCGATGCCGTGTGCCGCCCTGTTACACCCTGGAGCAGATCAACGCGCAGGCGGGAGAACAGGAGCTGCTTCTCCCTGAAGCCGCGCTCCAGCCTCTCAGCTGCAGGGGAGGATGTGGAAAAACCCAGCTCCATCTCTCAGAAAATTCAGTGCTTTTGGTTAGGAAAAGAATGAGTGTAATCTGAGGGGAAAAACGTGTCAATTATCAGAGAGGAAAGCAAATACAAGGGGTTTTTTCTCCCCCCCCCAAGGTTAAAATGATGTTTTTATATTCCTGGTCCATACTGCCCAGGTCTTTAAACCTTAAAAAGCGCGGTGGCGCAGGACCTGGCTGTTCGTAGCCCAGCCATCAGCGCGCGGGTGCTGACAGAAGCGCGGGTGTCGTCTCTGTGCTTGGCCCGGCCGATCCTGGCTTCCGCCCAAGCTGCTGGGAATATGTTTATGCCTTTGGGGTCTTTGATCCTTGTTAGCAACAAGCTCCGAGCTACTTTTAAAACATCTTATTAGCATTCTGTGGGCTTGGAGGGTTCTTTGGACTTTATCTTGGCACTAGACCCAACCGCTTTAATGATGATGTTTTTGTATTTGTACGGCATATGCTGCGAGTATTTATGTACCGCTCTGCCTAGAGCGCAGAATAGCAGCCATTGAGGATTGTGTTTTTCTGGTGTTAATAGTCAGAAAATCCGGGGCAATGGTTAGGCAGAAGGTGTCACGTAGACGTTCTGCAATCCGGAGTCCTACCGGGCAAATAAGCTGCATGTTCACGTACTAGCAAGAGGAACTGCACCATCACTTAAGCACTGAAAGCCTCAAAAGCATAAAAAATGAGTTACGTGCAGCAAATACTTACAGCCTTTAGCTTTATAAATAACCTGCAAATGAGACTAATTAACTAAAAGCACCTCCTCCCACCTGCTATGCTACTTAAATCCGTAACGGTTCCTTTCTGCGACGCAGTCCGAGGTAATCCTTTAGTTCTGCTGCGGAGAAACAGGTTTAATGTTGCCGAGAGGTTATCGCAGCCCCTGAGGCTGGGGGCTGAGCCCGCTCGCTTCCAAGTGCTGCGGGGGGTGCAGGGTCTGCAGGTCGGCGACGGTTGGCCGTGTCTCCGCGCACGTGGCTTCAGGAGGACGGAGCTGTCGCCCAGCCTGGCAGGTCCGTGCGGAAGACACGCTCTGCTCCTTCGACCCCTCGTAGGAGGGAATAGCGTGGGAAGCACAGATGAAGGGCTTGGCCTCTGCCGGTTGCGTCCGGGCAGCCACGGGCACGCCGTGTCAGAAGAACAACTGGTTTAGACTCTCAGCAGACCACGGCTTGTGCTTTCGGGAGAGATTTGGGACGCTGGAGGAACAGCAGCTTAGCTCGACCACGGGGAGCTTCCAGGTGGTGCTTGTGGGCACAGCGAAACGCCTGACGGCCACCAGCGGGGAGCCGCTCCGGTCCCGGGGCCTTTCCTCTGACACAGCTTGCAGAGAAAAGCTCCTTTAAATCTGCGTTTTGCTGCCTGGACACAGCCCTAGCATCTAAATGGAAGTGAAAACAGAAAACTGGGGGAGGTCACATGTAATTAGAGCCTGATACAGGTATGCAGTTAGAGGGGATTGGGGATGCGATCTTGTTCCCAACGTGTAGCTGGAAATAGCCCCGTGCTGGGTCTGGCTCACAGGAATTCTCCATCCTCAAGGCACAGCTGTGAGTTTCCTTTTGGCAACGTCCCCTTTCCTGCTGCCGCACAGTGCTCTGGCCACCCCGCTACGGCAGTGCCAGTACAGCCACCTCGATTGAAGCTTTCAGTTAGTAGTTGCGGGGCGTGCTCAGGATTTCACCAGCCGCGTTTCCTCGCAGAAGGTAAATACGCTGTAATTTTTCCGGTGATTGTTTTTTTTCTTTGCAGAAAAAACTGGAGCTGACTTCGAGCACTGCGAAACTGGAACCCGCCGTGAAGCAAATGCGGGATGCCGTCACCGGTCTTGCACAGTTCATGCAAGGAGCCGGTTCAAGGGGGGCGGTGACCACAGAGCTGGCAGCAAGAGACTTCTCCTACACCCTGGCAAGGATCTACGCAGGTAGGGGGGAGACACAAATGATGGATTTCAGACCAGAAAGGGCGAGGAATCAGTGCTAGAAGAGCCTGGTTTCACACCTCCTGGGCAAAGGGTGGAGTTTTAAGGGAAGCTGGGTCCCCACCTTCTTTCAAACTGAGGCAGCTCAGCCTGGCAAGTGCTGTCGAGAAGTAGCCAGCACCCACTTCTCACTAGCCCTTGCTGTTCTGGCTGGAGCCTGGGGACACCGACATCTCCTCTCTTCCACAGGAGCTCTTTTAATTGAGCACGCAGCTCGGCCTGATGCTTCCTCCACAGACATCTCCGCTGCTCGAAGGTAAGCGAAAACCTCCTCTAGCCCTAACCTGTTTGAGATGATTTCCTGCGCATCGCGGCAGGCTTTGCTCTGCTTTGGGCCATCTGACCCCTGCTGTGGCGAGACCCAAACCATTCTGGGCCGGTCGCTGTCAACATCGTGACTTTGCCCTGCTGCAGGCAGTCTCTGTTCTAGCAGCGATGGGAGGGATCCAAACCGGGCAGACCTCAAGTGGAAAGCAGCACTGTCACCGGGCTGGGAGAAACCGTTTGCGTTCTCCGTTCAGGTGGTGCAACCAGGAGCTGTGTCCTGTGGCCACAGAGTCGGGCAACGGGAGCTACGAGGCCGAGGAAGCGCTCGCGGACAGCGCGCTGGTGTACGAGGGCTGCCCCGCTGGCGGCAGCAGGCTGTGACTCGCCAGAGGCGACTGGGAAAGCCAAACCCCAGGGGAAACAGTAGGTTGGTTCTACTCCAAAAAAATAAATCACAAAATCCTCAGACAGCCGCGAATTTACAGGCACGGTGCGGATGTTCTGCCAGGGGCCAGACCGAATCCTTCTGGAGTGACCTCCAGCTGCACCACCCGCTCCAGCCTGAGCCCCGCTGCTGCTGCGCAGTTACTCGCCAACGCAGCCACTGAGGGTCAGCGCGAGGTGCGGAAACGTTCTCACCATGCTTTAGGCAAAGACTAAGCGATCAAATCCAGATAACGACTTGTGGCAGCAGCTCGTCGAGTGCCAGCCAGTGTTCTTTTTGAAGAAAAGCAACCAAAATCAAACTGAAAATTATTAGAAGCTGAATAAATATGGAAAAACCCACCATTTTTCCCTGTTCACCTTCTTGCTTTCCAATGCTATGCATGGTCTTCCACCCCGGCACCTGCCAGGGACAGGATTTTCTTCCCAGGCAGCCTCTGCCGCCCGCACAGCCAAGGCTGGTCATCCCTTCGTACAGGCCACCTCCGTGAGAACTGCTACGCTGGGCTCAGCCACCGATCTCGGCAACTCCTTGGGCAAAACAAAGCCTTCGTAGCCAAACTTTCCCTTTTCCTAGCCAAGGCTGCTAAGGTAGTCACGGGGCAGTGCTTAGTCTGGCTTGTGATTTTTCCTTTTCGATTCTACCTTGTCTCAAACAAGCTTTGCTTTGACTTTAAATTACCCTGGAGCAGGGGCTTCACCTTCAGGCGTATTGCTGGGCACCTTGTCCCTGCTAACGCTGCCAGCTCAGCCGAGAGGGGCGAGGAGAAGGTTCTGGGCCTGCTGCGTGTCAGGCACGGGGCGCGGTACATTGAGATCTGCAGCTCCGTAAACGGCGTCAACATCAACGCTGCTGGGCAAACAGCTTAGGGGAGGATGTAATTTCATTTACATCACTCAAATTACATCAAAACTCTACAAGTTGGTACCAAAATTAAAGAGAAAATTAATTTTCTTAATAAAAGAAAGCTTTTTTAACTTGCTACGACCTCCCAAAGCTTATTTATTCCCTCTGTGCGTGTCCTAATGATGCTGCAACTCTCGCTGACATGAATTCTGACCTAAGTTTTACATTGAAAGCCAGTAATCCTCCACCAAAGCAAACTCCTATATATTGACTGCGTGCTCGTCTTCACCCTCAGCCCGTCACTCTACCTGCTTGCTATTACCCTGATGACTACACGTTTTTTCAATTAAAAAGTTGCTAATAACAGAAGAAAACCATTAATAGTACAAAGACAGCTGGAATATACAGCTGCAAAGCGCTCCAGCAGCTGGACAACGAGTGGGAAGAGGGAGGAAAGGAGCCCACCACCAGATTTGGAGGTGGGAAGTGCGGAAGGGTCCGCTGGCAGGCGAGGGCTGCGACCCAAAGTGAAAATCATTGTGTCAGACTTGTTTGCACGACTTTTTCCCGTCAGGACCCGCCGTTCTCACCCAGAGCTCGTCTCCAAAGCACGGGGCTCTGGCAAGCACCGGCGCCTTCCACGCTCACTGCCCGCCTGGGATTTCACATCACCTCTTTCTGACGTATTTTACACTGGTTTTTTGAACTTTTTTCTAATACACAAGCTGTAATTTACCTAAAAATATGCCCCGCAAACTGGGAGCCCTGCAGATGCACCGATACAGAAAACACAAGGGACTGTAAAATTGTCACTGTGTAGGAAAATGACAAATTTATTAAGATCTAAATATTCACTCTGAGGCTACAGCAGAATAAATGCTGTTACAAACAAATAAGCGCTAGGGTCTAACATTTATACTGCTGCTAAACAGCTCTCTGCTCTCATCGGTTTGCGTGTTTTAAAACATTTAATGTTCTTGAAGTAATTAATCAAGATTTCAGATATCATTTTAATACAAATCCCACCAAAAAAAAATGTACAATCAAATGCATCACCTGTTGCCACTGCAAGGTAAAAATCATTTAATAACATAACTATGGGAAATCGGTTTAAAAAAACACATTTGTTAAATAGGAAGATAAAACTTTAGCAGCATTTAAAAAAATTTGGAAGTCCAAAGAATATGGTAATCTTAAATCCCGAAATGCAACAATCCGAGCTCCGATGCCTGTGTTACGTGCGTAAAATGGAGGGATGGGAACTGGTTATTCCTCTGCCCAGGAAACGGCACGTCGCTACGGCGTAGGGACAGCGAGACGGACAAACGCTTCTGTGGACGCGGCTGCATTAAAAGGTTCCGTTTCTCTTTCTGCATCCTTGCTCTAATGCTGGTGGATTCCCTCTTTCATCAAAAAATGAACCGAATTGTTATAAAAAAGGAACTTCACGCTGCCCGGGGTGAGTCTGGGCTGCTGGAGAATCACTCCTCTGGCCGTCAGAGGAAAACCAAAAGCACCAACGCGGTGGCCGGGCAGCGCAGGCTGCGCTGCTGCACGAGCAGAGGCCGCATCGCTCATCTCATGCCTCAAAAAGAGAGCCTAAATCACTGCTTTTGCTTTTTGAATAAGAAAGGTTGCTCCACGGAACTCACCAGCCAGTTCCGAGCGACGCTGGCGATGGAATCTAGCCATGGCCTTAGCAAAAGGCCAATCTAGCCTGGCCTTACAGCCAGGGCGGCTCTAAGGACTGAGTGAAACCTGCACCGGATCCCGCACCCGAGCGTCGGAGAGCTGCCCTGCCCGAGCATCCCCTTCCAGCACGGCCCAGTGAAACGCCGTCTCCTCACCGACCCCGGACACGGCTTTCTCAAAACCTCGCACTGACTAATTCAGCATCTGTTAGAATGACAATTGCAGGCTAACCATAAAATACCAGCGCGCTGTTAAACGGGCTCGGAATCCACCCAGCTTTCCTGCACGCGGCTGCGGCCCTCGGCAGCGTCCTCACAGCTCCAAACCTCTCCAGCGTGGGCTCCAGCCCACAGCCTCTCCTGGGCAGCGGCGAGCTTCCCGACACCTTCCCCTTCACCAAAGAGCCTTTGGTTTTCCATCCTAGACACTGCTGCCGCCACACCTCAACCCATCCAATTCACTAATATGATTAATTAATTGGTAACTTAATTGCCCAGCCTGTAAGATCACTGCTGCCTCTGCCGGCGAGGAGAGGCTGGGCTGGCTGCTGTCCTGCCTGGGGACGAGAGGGACCCTCAGCGCTCCAAGATTGTCCTGTTCCTCAGCCACTAATGCTATTTGCGAGACTCCCGATAAGCCGCACAAATCGCCTTTACGTTAAGGAGATTGTTTTACAGCGTGTGAGACAGCACTAAAGCTGCGGATTGCGATCGCAGCACTGCTCTCAGGCTCTCGTGCCGTTCGAGAGCTGTAACAGAACAGAAAAGGACAATCGTTAGGAAGAACGGATCACCGGGAAACGAGCTCCGACATGACGCCAGCTCCTCTAGCAGAGCTCCCTGGCCGTTGACGCCCCCGACGCGAAGCCCTTCAGCACAGGAACGGCTCCACGCTCTGCGGCAGTTAAGATTTCTCTCTCCGACGACAGCAGAGGAGACCCGCGGGGCTTTGCTCAGCGTTTCCCGAGCAGAGAACATCCCGGCGGTGCGGGGTCCGGGGCTGGCAGCACCCGTGGGCGCATAACGTCTACAGAGTAATGACTGACTGAAAAAGCACTCTGAAGTAACTCAGGGATGAAAGGAGCTATATAAAATCAAATTCTGGTGTATAATTGAAAACCTGCTGTTCCTTTGCATGTTCTTAATAGTGCAAAACATTATATATGCTTTTCTCTTATTCTTGAAGCTGTAGATACAAACCCCAGCTGCGATCACAGCTCTGCCCAGAATCTGCATTGATTAAATAAATACCATGAGATTAGAAAGCAATTGTGCACAACGTCTTGTGATTAGAACAGGCCTGTCCCAAAATAACTCACAGTTGCTCAAGGAGCTCTTCAGTCCCCCTGAGAATTCAGGGCAAATCCTCTCTCTCGCCTTCAAATATGTAAGAAAAGATGTGATGGAGTAGGAGCTGATGTGACAGGAGTGCGTGCAGCCAAGCGGTCCGAGGAAAATGAGAATAATCGGACCCTTGCGCAGGAGGAGACTTTTGCAGGACAAACAGCAGTTGAGTTTTCCACCTTCTGGGAAAAGATTAAAAGATAGGGAACCTGAGCGAGTCTGGTTTGTTCCCAAAGAGCCCCAGCTCCAACCATCCAGCATCGAGGGTAAGGCAGAAAGGGTGCAAATGAGAACCGGGCCCTGTCTCCCGCCCCAGCTCGCTCTGCTCACTCGCTGCAGGGGAGGGAAGACATCGAGCTTCCTTTTCCAAACGGGAGCAGCAGGGGGAATTCCCGGGCGACCTGAGCTGCTCCTACATTTGGGCTAACATTGTCAGATCAACGCTTTGCAATATGATGGGTGGTTCAGGGGAAAAAGAAAAACGAGGTACCAAGGAGGAGGAGACTCTTACGGTTCTCCAGCCGCAGCCAGCCGCGCTGATTGTACTGACCGGACCCGGTGGTGTGCGCAGATTGTGTCCTTTCCCCCCCTCCCTGGGACTCTCGCACCAGGAAAACCAAGCCTAATATTTTTTTTTTTTTCCTTCTAAGTTTAGGAGCAACAGTTTGTTGTTCCTCGCAAAGACACGCAGTGGAAAAGAAAGCAAGAGGCAGCCTGCTGCAGCCTCCTTTTTCAAAGGCCTTGGTGTTTCTGCTGAACCTCAAATATATCCCCTACGAAGGAGAGGAAAGAAAAATAAAAAATTAGAAAGTGTGTTAGCAAATGCTCCCATGCAAAAGTCTAAACTTTATTCACTTTTATTTATATATTTAACAATTCTAAAGTATTTACTTCTCGCTTTGACAAAAATGAAAAATATAGGAGCACTTTACTCTCTTTAGGAGAGAACAGTTATATATACAGCTATGGAGAGATACTGGTTCCTCCTTTACATACAAAGAAAAATAATATTAATTAAAAAAGTGCTTCATCGATCAAAAAAAGACTAAGAGCTGCAAGCATTTATTCACACTGTACATCACAGACCCCCAAACCCGTATCATAACCTCTTGGCACCTGTCATTAGGAACTGCAGAATCTCAGACTCATTTTGGACTATTTGCACCACAAACGCACACGACGTCGGCGCGTCCCCCAACGTCAGACCTCTCACCGGCCCCTCGGGGGAAGAGCCGGAGCCGGGAGCTGCACGTTGCCCTTTTCCTGCCCCAGCCGCCTCCGATTTACAGGGAGCGGCAACGCCCACGGGTCTATCCCAGATACTCGCTGCACTGCTTTAGGAACAAATACTTGTAGACACAACTCGACTGGAGAACCCATCCTTTTCTCTGCTCTTCCCTCCTGGTGGTTTGGAAAACGTTTCCAAACCCGCACCGAGGAGATCCCAAGACGCTTCGTTAGCAGACGCCCTCCCTGCTACGCTAAACCGGCCTCGGACCTTCATCTTTGTCTTGGGAATCTTCAGCTCGCGCCGCAGCAGTGTAACGACCCTTGCAAAGGGTGTGGGAAGTTCAAAGTAAAAAATAAAATACCTTGACTTTTCTTTTCCCCCTCAGGCCTAACAAATATTCTGAGATTGTTTTCTCTGCGTGATACTCGCTTTGGATTACGCGATTCTGACATTCCAGGGAAGGGAAGCACTCCTTTCCCGAGGTTTCTTAGATTTTGAGGTTTCATATTGAAAACTCTCAAATACTCCAGCAGGATTTTTTTGTTGTTGTTCTTGAGAATATCACACAAGAAGCTGTAACTTTGTCTAGGCAATACGCTGTGAAGCAGGATCTACGTTTCTTCCTCGCCAAACCGCGCTAAGCAGGCTCTATCAGAAGGAGAAGGGGAGGAGTACCTAACACTCATTAAAAAACATATTCAGGAGATTCACACTTTAATGAGGTGACCTTAGAAGTGACTCGGATTGGGACAGAAGGAAGAAGGGGAATCCATGATGTACTGTAGGTCTGTATAAAATCCTCAGGCAGGTTTTTCCTATCTGGAGTATATCGAATAAAGACTGCAAAAGGAGGAGACGTCCCAGGAGCGTTACAAGCACCAGTGCACTCCTCATGGACCAAGCCCAGCGAAAACACCAGCGTATCACAGTTGCTCTTTCGTTGGTTTGGACAGTCTCATTAAAGTGCGAGTCTGAACAACAGCACACGACGGCCTGTTTGTACGAACCACGACAAGTGCACTGCTCCAAAAGTAGCTTTGCATCGAGTAAACCATCCTACAGACGGGGCAGGGATAGAAGTTGAAGGTTGTCTACTTTCCCACTCAGTTTTAAATAATGAATTGCATGTACAGAACTTGAGAGAGGCGCCAGTGTAAAACCCATCTCAGCTCGGCCGCCTGCTCAATCCCTTTCTCACCTCTGGCAAACAAGCGCGCGCTTTCCTTAGCCAGCCAGTCCAGGTGTCTCCTCTCCGAGCCACAGCTGCAGGGCTGACGGCAACAGAACACACAGATCACGCGTGCACGCAGAGCCGCCGAGTGTGGACATCCGTGACCGATTCCCCTTCACGCAGCGAGGATATCTAAGCCCACTCTAAGAACAGAGAGGGAGAGTGCTCTCTTGGGAAAGAGATTCCCATTTCTTCTAGCAGCAACAGGTTCCCAAACAGCAGTTTCTTGTTTGGAAGTAACGGGAGTGATTGAAAGCACTAGCGCTGACGCTACAGGTATTCACACTCTGCACATCGGCTGGACCAATTCCCCTCTTCTCCTTTCCTCCCCAAAATTGTCTGTCTGCAACAGTTCGGCAGTGGGACAGTTAAACACAAAAGGGAAATCTGGTTCTGGCACCAGCTCCCTTCCCACTTCCACAATCTTCCAGCAAACAAACATATATATATTATTATATATATACACACACGCGCATAGACACATACACACAGATAGGACAGAAAGGAAAGGGGGAACAGCTGGGAAAGGAGAATCCCACAATCCAGCGGTACGTCCTCGAGGTCTGTCCCGCCGAGCGGTGTTCCACGCCCCAACCTCCAAAGTGCACGGCTCCCGCATCCTCCCAGCCTCAGCCCACCGAGAATCTGCGCGTTTCTTGGGGAAGGTTCGGCACAGCTGCTCCCCCGCTGCTCCGAGGCCGGAACTTTAATTTGACGTGGCAGTGATGGGTTTATCCAGTTCGAGATCAAGGCTGGAACTGCTGGGGTGCAAGCTGCTGTAGCAGGATTTGCAGACTCTGCTGGGTTCAAAGAGCTGCTGACTGGGAACGGGCACCTTCTGGTTACAGCAACTGGAGCAGAACACGTTGCCACAATTCCTTGTATCAGGAACAGAGGAGAAAAGGAAAAGATCAGAAGCAGTTTGACAAAGTTACCCGAGTTCTAAAATTACACTGTTCACAGTGGTGCGACAGGGTCAGCCCTGGAGGCTGCAGTTGCTGCTCCCGCCGCACCAGGACAGTGCAAAGGCACCCTGCAGCGTCTGCGCCCTGTGCTACTCGCTTCACAAGGTGAAGCGGAGCTCTGGGCAACGGACGCCAGAAAGGGGCACAGCACAAACTGCAGTACAGAATTACAGCTCGTTACGTGTCTCTACAGCGACAGCTCTTCTGTACAACACCGTCATGTCGAACGGGGCTGAGCTCGCTCTTGCGTCCTGCAGAAGAGCACAGTGCTACTCATCACTGTCACGGCTACCGTGGGGGCACATGGCTACGAGAGGGGCTACGGAAGAGGAAACAAGGGGCCTTCCTCCCTAAGGAGGTGGGGAATGTGGTGGTCTGGCCCCTGCTCACATCTCGGATCCAGCTTTGTGTTACAGACAGACTGGACGCTGCATCCTGGCAGGAGGGAACAGCCTCTGCTGCTTTACTCTTCTACAAGTGTGTGTTGCTGAGTACCAGCACAGAAATATTTCCTTCTGTTCCTTTCAAGAGCACTGCTGGAAACTTTAAGCAGGGGACAGATGAAAACAATTAACACCAGTTTCAGCTGATGCAATCCTCCCATTGCCCCAGCAGCGCGGTCCCTTTTGCGGCGTTCCCGGCAGTCCTGCACTTCTGCGTAAAGTAAAACTCAGTCGACAAGGATCATGCAAAGCCACGAGACGGGCAGCCAGGTAGTTCATGCTCAGAAACGGCAGTAACGCTGCGGCAGGGTGAGTGGTCTCACACACGTTGTCAGATGTCAGCTGGTGGAGGCACGCTGGCGCATGCACCTCGCAGGAGGAAGGGATAAAATTTAAATCTTGAAAACAATGACCTGCTCTTCTCACAGCACCTCTCAAAACCTGCTGCTGCTCGAGCCAGCCTTGTGAGCACTGCAGCGCCCTGTCCTCCAAACTCACCAGATCCTAACAAGGGGTTCAGGACAGCACCCCAGGGACCTGAATTTTGCAGGTTTACCTCTACGCCTGATGCCCTTTCATTAACTCTTTCGCATCAGGATTTTGTGCCATTATTGTTTTGCACTAGAACAGATTTACCGCTGCCAAGAGACTGACAGAGAATTCTGCCTACACCCGGCAGCTTTGATTAATCCTTCATTGCCAAGAGACAAGATTTCCAGATCCTGATCACTGATGGGGATAGAGTCGGCAGAGAAATCCCATTTCTCACTTCAATGGGCTCATTTTGGTCTCCTAGCCTTTCTGCAGTGGTTTCGAAGTCGTCTTAAAGGACCCTGTTAGAAATTACCATCAGAAAAACCAGCAGAAGCGAACAGAGTCCTGCGAGGTGTTACACAGAGACACCCTGCAGAAAAGCAGTTCTGACAACCCACATCTCTGCTGCTCAAAGAACCATTATCCAGCAGAAACTCGCGGTTGACGAATGAGGTCAAAAAAAGAACCAGAGGGATTAAAACAAATATTTGTTTGTTGTAGCTCACCAGCTTCCTAACATATGCTTGGGGTGGTTTTGTTGTTTTATCCTTCTGTGACAGATAACAGTGTTCTTGAACTGTTCTCCCTCAAGCTTCGGAAAGCTCTGAACAACTCACTCTTTCTATCCTGGTGGTCCTCTGCTTCACTTGAGAGATTAAAAAGAGATGTTAAAAAAACAAGCTAGAAAAGCTATCTCGCTCCTTTGAGGAACAGTGACTTTGAACCACACTACTGACACCTCCTCCTCTTACTAAATCATGGATATTTATCCTTTTTTTGGTGATACTAACCCTCTACCGACTTTGCGTTACCTGTTACTGCCACGGTATTTTCAGCCCTTCTAAAATAAGTGGCAGGTTTTTGTCAACACACTGCACGGTGACACTAGAATTGTTTTATAACACATGGACTTATCCCAGAAATAAGGCCAAAAAAAAAATGCATACTGGCTAAACTGCAAGGACAGTCTCTTTTCAGTTAGGAGTGAAGCATTCTCTGTTACTCACACACAGGACTTACTGATGGCGAGCGTTAGTGTGATCCACATCCCAGTTTAAGCTACCGAAAGCCAAGTCCTAAATGCCTTGCTGTGAAGAGGCCTGTTTATAGGGATCTAAACATCCAACAGATTGTGCTCACCACCCACAACTCCTTTCTAGTGATTTCTAGGCAAGTGAGAAACATAGAGGGGGAATAGACCAAGTTAGTTTGGAGACGTTACCAAGAAAACGCAGACAGACAACAGACAGAGGCTGTTGTAAATGCTCACCAGATTTGATCGACACGGTCAATGTCCCTGCAAGGAGGGGAGAAAGAGCTCAGAGGGGAACGGGCAAAAGCAGCAAATCCTGGCAATGAAGGAAGCTGGATATTTGGATCCTGCTCGAGGCCTCTCAGTGTATGGGTTTCAACTCATTTTCACTCCCAGGTAAGATGCTGAGCAGACCTCCACCGATCCCTGGGTTTTTGAAAATACTTGTGGAAATACTCAGGTTTTTTGTCAGTCGCCATCCCTTACCAGTCTCTACCGTAAACCACCAGAGCTTACGTGGTCAACCCAGGTTAGATGTTTGAAAGATGAAGGAACAAAGACTCTAAAGGGAAATTTGCAACCAAACTCGAAACCCGGAGCCCGTATAACTCCTCACGGTGCTGGGGTTGTCCTGTGTGTATCCGCGCGCTAGGCGCTCTCCAGAGCCCGGGCCTAGGAGACTGAACGTGCCGGGTGTCACTCCGCCTAGGGAGGCAGGGTGACAGTGCTGACGGGCACACTTCACAGATACCACTCGGAGAAGGACAAAGGAAAACACCTTTTTAACTCTTAGAAAACCCTTCAGATGTGTACATCTGTAATTGTACATTTCATCTGAAGCCCTAAGACATACAAATTTGGACAGAGTGGACATGAAAAAAAATCAGAGCCGTTCAACTTCTGTTCATTCTTCCCTGGCTTTATCTTTACAAGAAGGCTAAATGGAGCAAAACATAAGGAGGACACAAATCAGGAAAGATGTCTATAATTCTCTATAACCTCAAAAAGCAACGAAGCATCAAAATGTGGTAACTGCCATTTAAGTGACAGTTCTTTTGAAATAGTTTTCTCATGTCCAGAAATCAGGAATAGGAATTTATTTGAAGTGTAACTTAGAAATCTGAGATTTCCTGCCTCTAACTGGAGTATGATCTAATCAGGGGGCCTCTGCCATCTGTCCTTCATTAGCCCCTGCCGACTGCATTAGCTGTTGTAGCCTCTGCTGGCAACACATTGGGCAAAGAATAACCCAGAAAATTTTTCTTTCAGATAGGTGTCCTATTCAAATTCTATTCAAGAGCAATTTAATGAAAAGGGAAGAGTAGTTGGAGAAGGAAAGGAGCAGGTTTTCAACCCATAATGGGAAGAAGATGCTATTCATATAGTTGCAGTATTGAATTATTGAATGCTAAGATGACAAGCCAGTATTTTTAAAAAATACTTAACAAGCCAAACAGCCAGCTGCCTCCAAATCCAGTTTGAGGAAAAATGGCAGGATCTGTTCAGGCTGGGGTGGAGCAGATACCAAATTTGCCTTTTTAAATATATACTCAGCATGAACTGGAACTGAACAGGAGGCACTTTTCTGTTCTTCCAAAGCTCTTGGTTCCTTCGGTAGCATGCACAGCCCTACTCTAATAAAACACTTGGTCTGACATCCATCCCTGAGAAAGGAACTACATGTCAAAACAAAACCCTTTCCTGGTTTAACCAGGGAGGGAACAATTCAAGCCATGGCCATGCCTCCCTCCAGCCTCCGTCGGTGCACGAGTTACCTGCAGTGGTGCTTCCTGCTGGCAAGCCAGAACGTACTGTCACAGCCATAGCAGTGTGCAGCCAGGTGGTCTGGAAGCCATCGTGTCACCTGGGAGAAATAAAAGCCAAATTTATCAAGGAGAGGGCAATTAGAAACAAATCCATCTGATTTGCACTCACAAATTCAAAGGAAAGCGCTTGTTTTACTTTAAGAGCACAAATTTATTGTTTGCAACAATTGAAGACAGATGACAGAAACCTTCCTTTTGAGAACAGATTTCCCTTTGAGAACTAAATTACACTCACACAAAGAGAAATTAAGTCATAAAGTCCAATTCCCTGTTTTTTCTCCTGCGCTTTAAAAGCATCCAGGCCAAGAATATTCACCAAGCATGTGTCCACCTAAGGCTCCTTCAGCTACTCATCCCTTCCACAGCTTCAGAGAGTTCATACATAGAGAGCAGAGGGCTCATAGGCACAGGTACTCATCTTTAAAGTACGAGAGACAAGTGAAATGCAAGGAAGATAGCTGACAAGAAGCTGACAGGACCAAAGGCTGTAGGGTAATTTGAATTATGAATATCCCATCCTACTGGAAGAATGAGCAGTTTACAGGGATTTAGTCTGTACCTCTGTGTCCTGTTTATCCACCTGTTCCCAGCTGGCTTCAGAGAAAATCTCTGTGCTGCAGCGAGACAAGCAGTTCTGATCCAGATTGCTTTCCGAGTCGGGTATAGAAGTCTGTTGGCAAACAAACACAGCTGAACAGAACCTTCCCATAGTCCTACTTCTGTACAAATAAAAACCGGACAGTCGTGGGGAGGAGTGGAACCTCCTGTTAAGAAAGAGCTGGCTCTGTCTGCACCACAAGGGCGAGTGTCGTAACCAGGCACCTACCTACAGTGCGCACGTGGCAGCAAAGGCAAGAGTATCTTTGTGAATGGGACTATAAATGCCGCACATTGAAGCGGTTTCTGCAGTGGTGAAATGCAAAAAAAAACCAACCCCAAAACCCCAAACCCGAGTCAGGCTTCAGGTTTTGACCCTCTGATGACAGGATGTTGTGAGGTAGAATGGATTTTAAATCTGTTTTCTGTTGTGTTAGCACAGAGTTCCAGCAACACTTTGGGTGATGAACCAAAAAAGCTGCTATCTGTGGCTCCAATTTCATGGTTGCATCTCCTTCCCAAGGTTGTTTCACTTTCAAAACTAATACTAGTAATATATACTTTTGTTGGTAACAGTTCTGGAAAATACAAGCCAAATCATACATGGGGAAACTCAGAATTTGAGCCATACATAGGTTTTTTGGGAATAATGCTTCCTTAATACAGTCTAGCCAGGTAGAGTTGTATTTTAACTGACTTAAAACTCGGCCAGTCCTTCAAATACATCAAAAATAGCAAGAAATCTTGAGTGAATGTCTTTTTGTGCCTGAGGAATGGGCATCTCTGAAGCTCCAGAAGCAAACCTGTTCCTCCCAAGCTGAGGCACAAATAGAAGGTAGATATTAGATTCTTAAAAACAGTGAATTTTCTAGAGGACAGTGCACTCTTGTGAAGGCCCTGAAAAAATGGGAGTATAACAAATGAAGGCAAAAGCACCAACTTTCTCCAAGGAGCCCGAGGTTTTGCCGGTGACAGGAGTCACACCCAGCTGAAAGGGCTTGGAGCTGAAAGACGCCCAAAAGCAGCACTTAGCGCTGTTCTCTCCAAGTGAGTAGCCAAGAAGGCTCTGAGTATTTTTCACAACAAATGTACCTGGGACTATCCAGCACCTCTGCCACTTCTAAACAATATTAAAATAAAGTTGGAAGCCTCTTGTGTATGTGGTTCCCCCCCGCCCCCATTCTGCAGGCACATGAAACACATCGTAACGTGCAGGTAGGAAGAGCAGGGCAATGCTCTGCCTCACGTTCAAAGCCCCAGGAAGATACAAACTCTGTTTCAGGGATTCTACATCTCCTCACCCTTCCCCTTCCTGCCCCTTTCCTCCTCCTGTGCCTACCTGCTTCTCATGTAGCTCTCCCCTCTTCATTTCTTTTATTTAACTAACAAACTCCAAGTTTTTCAGCAATCCGCAGAACTGCCCTGTGCTCGACGGCCTCTGCAGAGCAGGACTCCTGCTGGTTCGCTGAATCAGTGCCACCTCCCAGAAACAGTACAAGGCCAGTGACTGTATTTCTTATGACTTTTTAGTATTATTTATTACTCAAAAGAGGAGGAGAAATTAGGTAAGAAACAGGTAGGGGAGAATCAACTTAGAAATCCACCTAAGACATACAGAGATGTGTGCAAAACTTGCCAGCTATTGAGATCTTGAACTTGGAATTACACTTACTTCATTTCTGATTTTAAAATTTCTTTTGCCACCACAGCTACATAGATCATGTAATTGCTACAGAAATCAGTGTACTGTATTTGAATCACACCTCAAACATAAGGCTCTACTTTTAAGACTTCAAAAGTGAAAGCACAAACAGTTTAAAAGCTCCCTTAAAATTCTTAAGTTTGTTGAGAAAAAACCCTCACTGACATAAGGCTGTCACAAAAGCTCTTAATTTATTCCAGTTAATGAGCCTTGAGCAGGCCAGCTATCTGAAAAGGGGATGGCTCAAACTCCACGGGTTTGAGCTAACAGCACGGGTGCTGCTGCAAATTTCTTACCCCAAGCACGCAAAGCACTGAGAGATCAGCCCTATGCTCCTGTCCCAGTACATGACGCGTTCACATCCTTAGAAAATTATCTTTGCCCATTCATGAAAACGGCACTGAAACAAACGTTCTTTGGAATAGGCCAGTGAAGGTGCCCAGGTGTGTCCAGGTATGTGCGAGTACGCTGTGGAACACCTTGCTACTTATAGTCAAACTGAAATACAGTGAGAATATTAGTTAGCGCTAACTGCTGTGTACTCGATCAGTTGTTTGCCCGCTTCAGAATGACCTTAAGAGTTTTATAAAAGCCTGTACAGCCAAAAAGTCACTACCTGACTAATGAACTAAGAGCTGGCGAGATCCAGAACATGACTAACCAGCCCACTGTTTCCAGCAGTGGCCCAATTACCATTTCACTTACCACTTCGTCTCCATAATCACCGTTGAGACGTAAGGAGCTGTTCGGGTACTGGCTCTCCAACCGGCTCTTCAACTCTTGCACTTGCTTCTTCAAGGTCTCCACTTCTTGCTGATGCCCAGTTTCTATCTGGCGCAGACGCTGCTGGATGACATCAGTGTAGACAGGCATCCCGTCATCATCCAGGTGACTTCTGGCAGGTTGGTCTGGGCTGCTGGCTGCCTGCTGCTTACCAAGATGACTAACCATCCATTTTTGGTGCAAGTTCCTCACGTGAAACTGTGCAGAACTACAGCTAGCTGTGGAGACCTGCCGACTCAGAGAGGCTTTGATCCTACCATCCTCTCCGTTCACACAGTGTCCGTTTGTCACGTGGTATTTCTGGGCGATACTAAACCCCGCAGGCTTCTCTGTCATCTTGTTCTCGGGCTCCAGCTCTCCGTTACACACAATCTCATCTTTACATTCAGCTAAAGGCAAGGCACAAGGGGAAGGCATTGGGATGTGTGTGTTGCTGCTACCAGAAGTCCTATGCACTTTTGCTCCCTGTTTCTGAAGTTCTGGCGTGCTCTCCCCCTCCGGCCTATTTTCAATAGTTCGAGAAAGCTCGTCAGCGCTGTTGTCCACCAGGTGAGGTCCATGGCAAGGGCCCTTAGGAACGAGCTCTTGCTTCGCTTCATTCTCTGTTAAGGTTTCCGTAGAACTTTCAATGTTGGATGCTCTTGCCTCGTGCGGGATTGTCAGAGGTAACGGAAGGTTGGCCTGCGCTGTATTGTACAGGCTCTCTGCTTCTCCTTCAGGTTTGCTAACGCCTTCCTCCTCCGTGTTCTTTTGAGCATCTCTATTTACAAAGCCCTCCAGAGGAACAGTCTGTAGTCCTTTCACCCAAGCTAAGTTCTGGATGGCATTACTGAGATCAGAATGCTCATCCTGCTGTCCTTCAAGCTCAGAAGCACCCTGTGAGACCGGATGCGGGTTGGCTGCTGGATTGTTCATTGCAACGCCTTTATCTGCCTCAGCCTTTTCACAGAAGTCACTGACATACCCATGTAGATTTTCAGTTCTCTTCTTGTCCAGGGCAATCTCATCCCCTTTACCTACTGTCTCTAGGCTACCCCTTAAGTGCTCCTCCAGACCAACATCATCTTTAGTGGCCTCCTGCAAAATATTCTCCATCTGTCCCTCTGCCACACCAGCTGCAACAGAGAGTTCTGCTCCAACTGGAGCCCTGCCTTGTTTACTCAGGCTGTCTCCATCAAAGGGATCATCCCCAGGGTTACTGAGGCTACTCAGCTCCAGAGATCGACGGTGCTCTTGCCACTTCTCATTGAGGCTGGGGTCGCTGCTACGGCGATTGGTTGTAGGCACGCTGCTATCACAGGCTGTTGTCAGATTGTCAAATGATCTTGTCTTTGGTAACCTATAAAGGAACAAATAATCAGAATCCAAAGTCAGGGGATTTTTTTTTTTTTTTTGAGTGCTTAGCTACTATGGTTTAAAAACTCCCCCCGCAATTAGGACAGTAACAATCTGCTAACTAAGGGACTTCTGTGAAGTATTATCTAGGAGCACATTTTGACAATCTGTAATGCAGAGCTGCTTCAGTACTTTCTTTGTTTGCCATCAGGAAGACATGTTCAATCAGACTTCAAACATTCCCAGAATAATCCTTTTACCACAAAGCACAAACGCTTACAGTCTGGTCACACCTCCTAATTAACACATGCTCAGAATCATTGTACAAAAAAGCAAAGAAATAGTTACACAACAATCAACTCAAATCAAGATAACCAAAGGAAAGCTTATATCCCACAAGGATATAAGGAATCCTACAAGGCAATGCAGTACCCAGAGCTTAATTCTATTTGCTGATCTTCTCTCTTACGCTATCACCTCTGAAACTTAACAGCTTTCCAAACTGAAACAACAACAGACTACTTTTGGGTAGGTCAGTCAGTCCCACAAATAAGCCTGTGAAAAATACTTCCCTCCCACCACAAGTATTCTCCTCTTCATATCCCACAATATTCTCTGTTGATCTTACTTTACAGGATGGGATTTCTGGGCTCTAGGCTCACCTGCCCAGAGGCTGATCTTCAGGGCTAGAGCCTGGAACGGGGTATGGGGCACAGGTGTCGTCAGCGGGCGTAGAGGGGGAAGAGCACGGCAGGTAAACAGCACTCCAGAGCATTAGATTACGCACATGGCACACTGGATACAGCACCTGAGAGGGGAGAACGCGCGAGGTTCAGAAAAGGTAAACTGCTCGCTCCCAGAACATGGAGAAGCGTTCAAATCTGATTGTGGTAGTTGACTGACCGTTCAGGTTTGCAGCTGGGAGGCTTTGCTGGATCACTAGATAACTCTGAAAGCCAGGGAGCAGCTATGGCATTTTTAATCAGCTACACTTGGATATATAATTATCTTTTCTTTCAGAGACAGAGGCTGAGGCATAACAATGCCGGCTTTCAGCTCCTCATGAATGAATTACTGCAATGTGCTCTGTGTGAATCTACACCTTAATAATGCTTCTGAGCAATTTAAACTGCTGAAGAATTCAGTGGCCCATTGTTAGTGCAGAGATTTCCTTGTACTTTGTATTATACCCTGCCATACGAGAGCTGAACTAATAACCTCCTTCTACAGGCTCCAATTCATCAAAGCTAACCCTGTCTTTAATGGAAGCACTCATATGTTAAAAATTAAGTACGTGCAGAAATACTTTGCTGAAGAGGCAGTTTGCTCTTAAAAGGGATTCCTTGACTGTGGAATATGCTTTCTGTTTCGGTTTAAAACCACCTTGGGTCACTCCAATTCCATTCCTTTCCCAGGCAACTTCCTTGTGGAAAAGCAGGCGATGGCAGAGAACCAGTCAGGTGTCCCTGGCAGTGAGCAGAGGGAGGGCTTTGGGGTGGCTTGGTTTGGTGGATGCTGTTCTTGAATGACTACGGTTTTATAACAGATGTGGCTACATCAGAGAGGCACCTTTCAAAGACTGAAGCAAAACCACAACAAGATGCATACGAGAGGAAATTACTAAAACTCCCACATACAGACAAATTATCCTAATTAGCTCAGTACAGTACAGTGCGGTATTCACTGAGAAGAGAGGCCAAGTCACCAAGACTGCATCTATTCTGCGGGATATAGCACAGACGTTAAGGGCAGCCCAAGGACAGACCGGCTGTCTGTCCACAGCTTTAGGCTCCTCCTGGGCAAACCTGCTGTTATTTCCAGGGAAAACTTAGATGCATCCATAGCTTTAAAAGTCCTCACAAGCCATATTTATCTGCAATGTCTCATGCTCACAGCTATCGCAGCTGCTCTTATGATGACAACATCAGGCTGAAAAGTCTTGAAGGGCTCTCTCTGACGTTGGCTGTCGCAGTGACAAACGGGATCTGTGCGCAGTCTGAGTGCAGGCTGCACGTCTGGTGTCCAGGGGAGACAGACAGGCATAGAGGGCCAATCTGAATGTAAAATTCATCTTTTTGTAACAAATGTAGGCACAAATTTTTTCATACTAAGGTTTTAATTTTACTTTAAGGAAGAATTCAAAGCGACATCTATCATATGCAAAAACATTGTATAGTCCTTACAGTTAGGTTTATGATATTGGATACTTTTATAAACAAAAAGGCTTTAAATATTTATAAAAGTCTTTGCAGTCCTAATCATGATGACATTTGATGATTGACTGTTTGTTCACATGCCCACCATACCGCATCTCTCAAAGTTTTACGTGACCTTTTATCAAATACACAAAAAGGTGAGCCCGTTCCCAGAAGCTTCAGCAAGCTATTACTACAGAAGAGCCAAACTGAAAACATGAAACTATTAAGAGAAACAAAGACATACTAAATCTGAGTTACTTTCTCTGTTTAGATGCAAGATGAATATAGACACAGTGTCTAGGTTTGTACGCAATTTTAAGACACTCCTCTGACATAGTTTAGTTCTCTCGAAGGTCTATTTGTCAAACACTGAAATGTTTTCTGTTACAAAAATAAAGCAAAATATCTAGTTACAGAAAACACGTTTCCAGCATAGAGAAATTTTCGTGGTTGCATTTGACATTCCTCAAGTATCAGCAAACTTAATATAAGGCTTAAAACGTCAGAGTGAGCAGAGTGTTCAAAGGCAAGCATCGATAAGCAGAGTATGCTTTTCTGGAGATGCCTCTCTACGCTGTATTCACAACAACCGTTAAGCCGTTACGATGCCCTTTTGACACAAGCTTGGCTATGCTCTTAAGGTACACGTTTTTGAGAACACTGTACCTACAGGGACTCTCCCCCACGGTGGGGAATGGAGGATACATACAGATTCCGACTGGGAGGAGTAGAGCAGGTTTTTGAAGGCTTTGTTTGCTGCCCGCAGCAAAGACCAGACAGAACAGGTCCGTTCCTGAGTGTGTTTTTCTCCTCTCTCTTTCGCATTGTTGCACAGGAATGTACCAAAGAGGCAAGAGTAGGTGTGCTGCACCAATTTCACCTACACAGATCAATACAAGTATTGTCATATGGCAGAAGATATCAGATTAACATGAGAATCAACATTCAAGGCTTAAGGAGGAACAAATCCTTCCTTTGCAGGGCAATACAGCCCCTTCCTAAAGGCTGATATACAAATACACCCAGCATTTTTTGCATACCTCCTTATAAACTAATTGCAAAAGAATTCAAGCATAGCAGAATCTTTTAAAATTTTAACTAAAATCAGGGGAAAATATAAAGACAACATATTTGTTCATAATCAAGCATAAAAGTCTTGCCAATTCAAACTCATAGCCCTGTAGGATAGGCAAGGAAGAGAATCACGCTACCTCTGTTACAAAACAGTAATGCAGCACAGAAATTCTGATCATTATTCAGTCCATGCAGCGGCCCCAGTCATAGCTTAATGTGAACTTAACTTTAAGCATATAAATGACTTCCATGGGATTATTCAGACATTTAAATGAAGACAAGTACTTCAATACTCTAATAAATTAGGTGGGTTACTCTAAAAAGGCCAGAATACGAAGGGTATGTTCACACAGCTCCCGTAGATTAGCAGTGTGCCGTGAAGGCAGTTATAACCTTCCGTATCTCATTTCACAACTGAGCTAAGCTGGGACCGTACATATACTCGGTTACATGGCTGAGCTGGCAAGCAGTAATTCAAGTCAACCACAATCACAGGAATGCGCTTTAAATCTCTTAGTGGATCAGACACTTCATAAAAACTTTTATTCTTCAGATTACGAGTCCTGCAGTCAGTGACTGCCACTTTCCCACAGACCTGCTTTCCGGCCTTCAGAACTGATTTTGACCATCCTAGCCAAATTTCTAATAGGAGAGCTGTCCGCTTCAAAAGAAAATAAACACAGCTCAGATATCCTACACATTTTCAGCAGAAAAACTGAGTGGAAAGGTACAGGGCAGGTTGTTTTTAGAGGAGGAGTCTTCAACTCAAAACAAGATCAAAGCAGGGGGAAGTTTTATTGCCAGTAACTATGACTTTTTTCATGCTGTTTGGAAGTATTATACCAGAGTTATTTCAGCACCTCTTAGGTGAGACTATTAAATTTGTATAATTTATTTCTTCAAACTTTAAAAAAAGTCCTCAAGAGTCTTGCTTCAGCTTTAAGAGCGAACAGACCCGTGAAGTGTACAAGTATTTTTCTCTACTGTATCTGGGCAGTTTTCCCGTTTCCTTTATCAGGCTGCAGCGTATCACAGATAGATGGAAAAATCAGAAACCCCTCAGGGCTCTCTAGTATGTTAGTACTGGGTACTGGTTTAGAAGCAGTCTATAAAACAGCAATCTCTCAAGCCACAACTCACAAGGAATGCTTCGTTAAACTCGAAAGAGCAAGGGAACTGCCTCTGGAGCTGATGGACGCAGTCCAGCCACTGTAAAAACACTGGGCAGCGCTCATTTAGGTCATCCGAATTCTCACCATGGCCACAGCGATCTGCAAACTTGTGGCCAAAATCCAGCCACTCCGTCTCCACTAGCACCTGGAAACCCTGCAGAAATGAAAGTACAGATGAAAAGTTCTTATTTCTCTTTGCTTCCATTTTCCAAGACTGTCTGAGAGTCATGGGAATCACCTTATTGTGTCCTCACTCCCTCCCATTTCCCCTCAGCATTGCCTCTCATCACTTATCTTTACTGCTTTACCTAATGCCTCTGTGTTCTGAACTGCTGCTCGATTAAATTAGGACAGATATGAATTACCAAGCCTACATGATCAGGAAAGGGAATAAGGCAGGCTAAGTCCTCAGCAACAGGCAGGGAAGATCCCGAGATGAGCCCTATCTGGGCCAGGCAGGGGCGAGCAGGAACTTCATCGCTATCAAACCCGTCTGGATCACGGTGATCAGCAGTTGGACAGGAGAGGAAATTTTAAAGCTCTGCCTTGAAACTGATGGGCAGATCTCTGTCATAAGAGAAAGCAATTCATCCAGGAAGGGACACCCAGGCTCAGAGAGAGCGCTTGCCTGTGTGTATACCAACAAGGTTCATTAAAGCTCAAGTTGCATGACTTCTTATGCAAATGAAAAGGGCAAAGAACATTGCAGAACAGTGCCTAGCTGAGCACCTGAATGGAACGCCTCATCTTACAGGGCCTAAAACCCATCACAGGTTAGGAAGGTTTTGATTCTTAGTGAAAGAAAAATTGTAGAGCATGCTTATTAAGTCAATGGCTGTAATTAGAGGAAAAATAACAGCTGATAGCTGAAAAGCTTGAAATGTGACAATGCTGAAGACTCATTTTCCAAAACATTTCTGATCCTTGTATAGACAGCTAGAGTTTATGGTTTCCTCCGATGCGGTGGTGACAAGAAGGAAAGCAAAGGGTGTGTGCAGAAGAACTCTGCACTTGGGACAGGAATGACAGCACACTCAGGAGGGACCAGGAGGAGGTTCTGTGCCAAGGACAGAGCAGTGTGTTTTGACCAGACGGATGCCGACTCCTAGAACCTATGTGAAAAAGGATCTGAAAAGTTTCCACTATTTCATCCGAAAGGCATCACTGCAGTTTAAATTTCTGGTCCTCTTGTGTCTGAGGCTTTAAGCAGCAGTTTGTGGCACAGTGTTCAGAGACACACTTCTGTTCTAGACAACAAAGGCATCTTGCATGTGGGCTGGTAGATGGAATCCAGCCATCACATATTACACAATGCTGAAAAGTGATGGGGGAAAAAGATTCAGCCTGAAAAACCAAGAGAAATATAACTGACAGAGGACAACGAAAATGTGAAACTGGAGAAACACGCAATTGGGAAATCCAGACAGGAGAAAGGCTTTGTATCAATAGTTGGCTGAGAAACTGCAGTGGTGTAATGGAAACTGCAATATGGAGCATTCTGTACTACATATTCCTAAGCTAAATCTGGGGAAGCCTAGACCATGACTGTGCAGTTACAGCAAAGGGGAAAAATATAATCTGCTCTTAAATTACAGGCCATATTTATACCTATACGTAACTATATGTGCAGACTACTGTTGGTAAACTCCTGCTAGCTTTAGTGCCTTTTCTAGTGGAAAAAACTGAGATAATTTCTAGACAGACTTCCTCAGAGAAGGACCCAAACTTGGTAACTACCTCATGCGCTAACAGATGGTTTACAAACCTCTGTGGTCCTGTAATACGGATCTAGCAGCAGTTTGGCCAGCGCCACTATCTGGGGGGTTCGGTCCCAGCCGTCTGAGCAGTGCACCAAGACTGGTCGCTGGTCTCGGTCCACGGCATGAACCACAAGTAGGGCAGATTTCAGAAGCACAGATAAGTGCTGCAGCCATTTGGTACTTTCCAGAGCTGATAACCAACTAGAGGAAAACAAGGGAAGACAGTTGTTGCTCTTTTGAAATGCTTTCAGGTTTGGATCTTTGAATTTATCAAGTCAATGATCCTATTTTAATAAGCTGTGAACGTCATTCTTCAATATTTTTCATTTACGTCTCGTTAACACTCTCTCAGATTTGTAAGAAACAAAGCCATGCAGGACACGTGAGAAACAGCCAGTCTCTGGTACGTGCTTTGCTGCATACAGCTCGCAAGAAGCTTAAATGACATTTTCCCAGAGAAGGCACAACACGTCACCAGCAATGGTCACCACCAGCAGTGGTCCACCCACCACTGCTGGGTAACCATTATGTTCAGCAGCCACTGCCGCCTCCCTTCCTCTGAGCTGAGGATTCAGTTACTCCGCAGTCCCAGTATCACTGGTGTATCTTGGGACTCTGCCATATGCTCCTGACAACTCTGTGCTTCCTGAAAGGGTGGGACCTCACGTGCCTTTGAAATCGCGCGTCTCTCAACTATCCCCAGGCTTTACAAGGTGTGCTGCAGGTGTCTTAATCTCTACCCTATGAAGATCTCCATGGGCAGTTTAGTAAGGGTGGCTGTTCCGGATCTACTTTGAAACCAGGAAGGACTCTTAGCAGCAAATTCAAAACAGGGAAGCGGTAGGGGAAACAGGGCTGGTGTGACTACAGAGACATAGTGAAGACCCAACCTCAGAAGCTGCTGAGATGATGGGCTGTTAGGGGCTGGTTATCCCATAGCATTAGCGGGCTATGAAATATGTCTCCTAAAATGACACCGTAAATGTGTGAAGTACATGGAACACCACCAGAATTTTCTGAAGGAGAGCCAAGCTGTAAAGATTAAAGATCCAGGAAGAGCGAGTAAGTCTAAGTGCTAGCACTTAGAAGCTCACCTGAACGTAATAACATTCTAGTATCAATACTCAAGGCTACATCATAATCCCAGATCTCATTTTCTAGGTTCACTTCAATGATAATAAGCCAATTACTTCCTTTAGCTCAAATTCCGTGGAAATAAAAAAATATAGCTTAGCGTTATTGCACAGGAAAGTCACCAAGGGAAAACCCACTGAATTTCAGTTTACTAATCAGCAGCAAAAGAATGCAGTCACAGAAACACATAAACAGAGGCAATGAACACCAAACATCCACTTACTTTCCTGGATCTGGCATTTGTGTGCAGAGCAAACGCAGCGACTGAAAGCTCTTCCGGATAGAATGAATGTTTGCCATCCCCATGAACACCACTTCACAGTT